GTTGAACTTCTGATTACCTTTTTCTTTCAACAATAGCTTTCATTTTGTCTTCCGTGAAAGGTGTGTGGAATGATTATTCGTTTCCTGTTAGCAGAGCTAATTCCGACCTGAACTGTGGCTCTCTTCTTGCCCAGTCTTTCAGCTTAGGTGTACTCAGTACGTTTGCCGTTGTGTCATGCTGGTTCTGTTTTCTGATAATGCATTGAACAGTGCTCTGACATGTTCAAAGATTGGGATGCTGTTTTATGATCCCGCCCTGCTTAAAATGTGAGCGCGACTTTATCTCTGAACTTCAAAGTGCTGCGCGATCCTTGGTGTTTGTGTTACTTTTCACTAAAGTTCATCGTTTCCGAGGCCTTCGCATGCCGGCAAAATCATATTCGTCAATTAGGTTGCTTTTGTAGATAACTGACTTTAAAGATGTGTTATTCATGAGAAGTTTGGAAAGCCGTGATATCCTTCTTATTGTGCAACGTTTGGTGTTGGTCTATAAGATAAAATGCTAAGGAATTACATTTAATTTCGTGCTTTTAATGTCTCACTGTGTGTGGAAAAAAAAATCGAGTAGTATGAAGACTTTTGCAAGGTACTGTGCTTGGTACTGTGAGGTGGCTGCAAACAAATCAGTTTGCATAATGAGGGTGATGGATAAGCTAGAATTCTCTGACCAAGAAAAGGTGAAATGAATTATCAAACAGAGCCAATAGAAACCACAGAGTCTTTGAGATTCAGAAGTGTTTCAGAAGCCTTGTCTTAGACAGCTTAATAACAGTTCGTACCACCCCCTGCTGTTTCCTTAAGCAACAAAAGACCTCAGGCAGTAATCCAGGGGGTTTAATACTGTACACACATATGTGAATGTGTGAATTCACACACACGCACACACTCGTACGTGCTGTGGCTCAGTTTAATCCAGAGCTGGAAGACCCTCTGTCCGGAAACCTGGCCAGCAGGACATTGGTGGTGATGAGGAAAAACGTGGGTTTTGATTTATGCGTGCCCGTTTCAGTCTGTTCCCGTGCAACAACGCCAAAGCCAGCTTGTTTGTATAGGGCGCTGGCTCTCAGTCGTGAATAACCAGCCACACCCATGCTTTGTTTGTCTGTCTGTCTTGCGCCTTTAGTCCTACAGATACAAAGTGAAGGCTGTAAAAGTTAAACTGACAGGCGAAAATGTATTCACTTTTGGTAAAATCAGTTCAAGGTGGAAATCAACACCACTTTGAGCCCTGTTAGTAAATGTGTCAAGACCACACACACCTTATATTAAGTGTTTCTCTTAGTGAGTGTTGAGCTCGGGGGTCTGTTTGCAGGCAGTTAACATCTGATACAAGAAGAACACCATTGCTCTTGTTTTTCTTTTTTTTCTGTGAAAAAATTTCTGAGTTGGAAAAAAATATGGTGGAAAGAAATTTGGTTCAAGGCAAGTTCTCTGAAAAGCAGTGTGTGTGTGCTTAGAGAGGTTGTTTGTTCAACCCTCCCTTTTTAACCAGTAATGAAAAGACTACAGTTGATTAAATAGACAAAAGATTGGTTGGCTGAGACATAATACTGTTTGCTTTTGCTACTAGTGACGCTAGTAACGGACAGTATCACGGAAATCTGTTAATTAAAGGTGGACGATAAGGACAAAGCCCGGTAATAAACCGTGACGATTGCATCTTAATGACAAAAAAGTGGAAATCTTTTCAAATCAAGCTAACATTGGATTAGTCAGAGTTAATAACAGAGGCGTTTATTTGTATAATCACGATCATTTTCAGTGAAAACAATAGCATAAACAAAGAAGCTAATTACAGTCTCTCCTATAGCCAGAATTTGAATTCAAATGCATCATTTTCTAATCCAGACATATTAATCTTTTAATTTCATTCTTTGTCCCAGGCAGTAAAAAGTGTGTTTTCACTGTAAATGAGATTGCACACTGAACAGCAAAGAAAACAAGCGTTACAGACAAAAAAAAAAATAAAAATAAGCCCTTTCAATAGGCAACCATGGTGGAGGCAGAGACAGAAAAATGTCCTCTAACTGTCCCACTTAGTGCTAAGCTTCACTCAAGGGGCTGAAACGGGAACCCTAGTTAGGGTGCGTGGAGGGCGGGGTGGGGGGGGAGGGAACCAGGCGTGTGCTTTTTCTTTTGCTTGCATCTGCCTCTTTTCTTCTTAACACCAGGAAAGCAATGAACCGATCATCAGAAGAGAGCACATGTTGCATTTTCCAAGAATCCAAGAAAACCTGTTTTGTGCCAACAGCTGTTTTTCTCAGCTCACAATGTACATAGACACACACCTTTTTTTTTTTTAATATTCTAATAGCTGATAATTAAACTCACTTCTTTCTACACATATGAATCAACATTTATGATAATGGTCCTGAGCGTGTAATGCACTTGCGTTGCTATTTTCTTTAATAATTTACTGGCAGTCAAGCAGCCTAAGTAGAGTACATTTCCGTCCTAATAGCTGATCAGAATCCTCTGCAATAGCTGAAGTTACTTGTCAGTCTCCACTTATCAATCCACCAGGCTGCTCGGTCCAAGTCCATCCATTAGCCAGCTGACTTACAGATAAGTCTGCACAGCATTCTGCCCTGCGTGTCTGCTCTACCTGAAAACCCGGGCGAGCAGACAGGTTCTCTTGTCTTTTTAAGGTTGAAAGCAAAGGAGGGATGCGCTTTAGCGCTTCGCTGCGGGGAAGCCCTGAAAATGTGCTTGTGTAGGTGTGTGTTGCCTTGGGCTCATGAATGCGCACATTGTTTCATCGCGGTCGTCTGGAAGATGGGAGCCTGTGGCTGCAGACGTTGAAGAGCAAGAGGGGGAGGCGGAAGAGAAAGAGAAAAGGAATAGAGGGAGAGATGTAGGGATGGGAGAGAAGGAATATAAGTGGGTCGGGGTACCGGTGAGATTCACGGGGGGGTTGGGAGGCAAAAATAGGCAGTGAAAAGAGGAACCACAAAGAATCACATCAAAGCTGCAAACTGGATTTTTTTTTTTTTTTTTTTTTTTTAAGGCCTAAAATACATTTGGATTATTTACAAAGATGATCAAAAACAACCTAATTTAACCAGTAGGACATTTTGTATTTATAGTGTTTGCTTGGTAAATAGTAGAATGAAGAAAGTATCAAAGTTCAAGGAGCTGAACTTGTAAATTAAGTTTTCCTAGGCAGCTGATTGTTGTGCATGCTCACAGAAGCTCTACTGGTTGTTAAGGAACCAATGAGGCTTCATGACCAGTAACACAAACCTTGATTTAGGTTGACAGAGGGGGGCAGTTAAAAGCGTTGCCATAGCTTCAGACACCTGGCCCTGGGTGTCCATATGGGGGGCCACAGGCCATATGGCTTTTATGTGTGCCCAAACTGTACAAAAGGCTGTAATGTGTGATGTGTGTGAGGGTGTGTATCTGTGTGTGTGTGTGTGTGTGTGTGTGTATGTTACTTTTGTGAGCTTATCATATGCAGTTAAAATGTGGAAACCTGATCCCTTCCAACCCAACTCGTTAAATTTTAGACCAGTGTTTCTCAAAACTTGAGAAGAAAGTACCGCCTCGGTAAATAACACACTTTTGATTTTAAAGCACTACTGTAATTTGTTGTGGTACAGCATACCATCCAGGTATAATTGTTTAAATGATCCATTTTTGCTTCAGTTCTGACTGGTTATCTTCTTTATCGGATGAAAACCCTCCTCATGCCATACTGGTGCCACCACCATTTGTCATTGTTAAGGTGGTATGTTCATTGAAATGGGCAGTGTTAGTTTTAGATCATACCTAGTCTTTCAGCATGTTAATTTCACCGGACTACAGCACTGGACCTTCACATGTTTGACACGTTTCCTAGGTGGTTCCGATACCAAAAGACAAGAATTCTTATGAATTTTCTTTTTTACATTCACTTGAGCCAGATTTCTGGTCAACTGATAACTGTCTTATCAACAGATTCTCCCAACTAAGTGAGGATCTCACAGCTCCTGAAGAGTAGTTATGAATCTCTTGGCTGCTTTTGTGATAAACCTGTCATTTCAAGGGGATGGTCATGGTTTTGTAGTTTTATAGTTGTTTTATACTCCAATTTGGGATGAAAAACTTAACACTTCTCAAAGCTGTGGATGTTGTTTTGTCAAATATGTGACCATATCTGACGTTTCTTCATGACTGTATCACTGGTTTGTTGCTTTGAGTTTGTGATGGTGCTTTATTTTTTGCAAGATCTCTGTAGCTGTTCTTCAAAGAACAGCTGCATTTATTCTGAGATTAAGTAATTAGTTAAATTCTTGTTGGGGTGGATATGATTTAGAATAATTAGAAAAAAAGGGGGATGAACACTATTGAATGCCATATTTAAATTTTAATTAGTAACGCAAAAAAAATCATGAATTTCATATGTTTTATTTTTTTTGTTTCTTTTTATTTTTTCAAATTGTGCCCTAATTTATTACACAAAATCTCAATGAAATACTCTGAGGTTTGTGGGTGTTTCCTGACAAAGTGTGAAAAGTGTGGAAACTCAACTTTATACTCATTTGAATAATTTGAAATTCCTTAGGCAAAAATGTAAACAAACAGCAATATACAAAGGAGTTCTTTTGTCTTCGGCAGTGTTTCCATTCAAGCTTGTCTTGCCGTTGTGGCACCTATTACACATGTAAATTAATAAAACATACTGAAAGTATGAGCATTATCAAGCTTTATCTGTAGACCAGAAGGAACAAGGAAACAAACACATCCAAACACACACAAGAGGAGTCCTATCTAAGTAAAGCATCTATGTAAATGTTAGGGCCACATGTCCTGGAACATGCACAGTAAAACTGCATAACGTAGGATGCAAGCAGTGAATTGTGGGAGTTTGAATAAGTTGTCTGTTTAACAAATAGTGCAAACAGCGAATTGGTAACAAGCAAGGTGGAGGAGGAGGAGAGAAAAGGGATGGGGGAGGGAGTGGAGGACAGACGCTGGCGCCCTGCCAAAGCTGACGAAAGCTGCTTAGCCCACCCTGTTGCTATGGCTACATCGAGGAATAGCACCCTCCATGCATGTGTGTGCCTGCCTAGGAGAGAGAGAAAAAAAGAAAGAGAGACGGGAGTGAGAGAGAGAGGGAGGGAGGGAGGCAGAGAAAACCAGCAGGCAGGCGTTAAAGCAAGCCAGAGTGGGAGTGAGGGACCACCAGAAAGTAGGGTGGAGGGTAAAAGAGAGAGAGTGCAAGTGTGTGTCAGAAGGGGAAAGGACATAAAGGCAGCCAGAGAAACTAGAGGGAAGCAACCCTGTGGAAGCAACGGAGTGTTGGATAATGGAGGTGCAGTCGGATTGTGTGGAGCCTCCTGTGGCTCCACAGTGTGACACACAGCCTGCAGGGAAGATCAACAAAGCTGCCTTTAAACTCTTTGGGAAGCGACGCACTGGCTCTGGAATGGCCAGCTTCTTCTCCTTCAGGAACAAAGCTGCTGCAAACGGTGGGAACAACGGGAATTCTGACAACGGGAATTCTTTGAATGGAAACAGCTCGGCGGCATCAGCGGACCTTGTGAGGAGCAAAACACATGACGGGCTAACAGGCTCCAACAACGATGCTGTGGGTCAGAGAGGGGAGGGCCTTACTAGCCTGGAGGCAGGGCCGGTAAGGTCGCTCAGCAAATCATTGAGTTTCTTTTCCTTTCTCCGACGTGGGAGTTTTAGGACAAGTGAAAATGGTGGGACAGGAATTGTGAGAAGAGGGAGGGGCCTGAAGGGCTTTTTCAGCAGCATGCGATGGAGACGTAAAGAGAAAACAAACGAGGCCGAGGCAGAAGAGGTGGAAGGTAAGAAAGCAAGGGACACAGATGCTACAGAATCTGAGATCCCGAAGGACATTACTCTTACCCTTGAGCCACCTCCGCATCATCACCAGGAGGACTGTGCAAGTGCAGAGACAGGATCTAACCTACAAGCATCGGACACTCCCACCACTAGTGTTACCATGACACCCACACACTGTGTTGCCATGCCAGGACCATCTGGTGAGCCAGACTCTCCTTTTCCTTACACACCCACCGACTCACCATTGCGCCCATCTATTCAAAAAGCCAAAGCCTCAATATCTAGCCTCACGCCCTCCCTTACTACACCCCCTTTGGACCGCTGCAGCATAGGTGACCAACCCTCGGAGCCCTCTGTAGATCGACTCTGTTCCATCCTTTTCACTGATGTCACATCTCTGAAGAGCTTTGACTCACTGACCGGCTGCGGTGATATTATTGCTGATGCAGAAGAGGAAGGACCAGGGGGTAATGGTGGCAGTGGAACGAGTAGTAGTAGCAGTGGAGGTGGAGGAGGGAGTCTGAGCACAAATGTTGGGAGAGCTGTTGGCTTAACTAGTGCAACAACTCATGCTTCCCCAACCAAACCTTCAATACCTTCACAGATTACCCAGCCAATGTTCTCCGTTCCCCAGAGTTCGGCTCCTGTCTGTCTCCCTGCTCGGACCCGAGTGCTTCCTCCACCACAGCAGCATTCTGCTGGAAGTGGTGTAGTGGCCTACATGGGAGGAGGGGAAGAAATGGCAAGTCCAGAAGGAGTGGACGATGCGGACATGCAGGGGCTTTGGCACATGTTGCCTTCTGCAGGAGAAAGCTCCCCTGCATTGCCCCGACAGTACCAGCCTTCTTCCAGTACCCTTACTTCCACTTATCCCCCTCGCAGCAACTCCCCCGGTGCACTTCGTCCCTCAGCTCAAAGAAGCGCAGAGAGAAAAGCTCCTCAGGTGAAGGCGCTGGGTCTCAGCAAGATTCCAGTGGTTGGTGGAGCAGGAAGCCGGGCAGGTAAACCCCCCCTGCCTCATGCACACGGCCGCCATCCTGCATCACCTGGTGAAAAAGAACTTCTCAGTGATGAAGGTTACTGGGATACTCCCTCAGCAACACCTACAGCAACTCCCGATGAGAGTGGGTTGCAGCGTAACCAGAAGATTGCCCTATCACGCGATAGCTGCTCGGGAGACCACCTTTACGACTTGTACAATGATCCTGAAGAGGAGGGAGAAGATCAGAGGGGAGACAATGATGTAAACAGTACCCCCTCTCCATCTGCAGAATTCAAAATGAGTCCCACCTCCCAAAAAAGTCCCCTTTCAACCTCTTCTTCCTCTTCCTTTCAATCACTGAAAGGCAGCGCCAGCCTTCCCCGAGACTCCAAGATCCCAGTAAGTACCAGACAGACCTCGCCTCCCCACTCTGTAAGCCAGTCTGCTTTGTCCTCTGTACTGGAGGCAGAGACCCCTCCGCCAAAGACCCATGCACCCCAACCAGCCCGCACCAGAATCCCTGTGTCAAAGGTGCCAGTTCGCCGTTCTGGAAGCAAACCTGCCACCAGCACAAGTGGAGGAGCTGGATCAAAGAAGTAGATCCTTTTGACAAACATTTAAGCCTCGCCTTCTAAGATACTACAGGACTGGTTGTTCAGAGCCAAACGTTTCGTGTGTTCAAGAAAATGTTGAGCTGTAGAATCATCAGCTTAAAAATTCCGTTTCAGATCTTAGAATTTCCCCTAGATTCCCTTCGGCCAGCTGGACAATAATCAGTGGCTCTGACACACAGACGCTCAAAAAAGCTGGGTTCATACATTACTGACCTTACTCGCACTTTGGAGGCTGACTATTGACAATCCCTTTTCACAGAGACAATTCATTCTCCAACTTCAAGTTCTCGGAAAAAGCTACTGACCTGTTGAATTTGACAGTTACCTTGAGAAAAGAACAGAGCACCTTTTTATCTTTGACATTTTTGTATGGAATTCAATGTGACATTATTCAGTTTGATAGGACCTAATCCAATCAAGGTTTTCTGTTCTTGTTTTTTTAATCTGTCTAATTTGTTATAAATTACCTCCTAATCTTGTGACTTTTACAGCCAAAGCTAAAGAAAAAAAAAAAAAAAACTCAGAAAGCTTAGATTTTTTTTTTCATGTGAACTTATGGAACAGACTCAACAATATGCTTTTTACTGACACTCACTTTTTAAAAACGGTTTTCTCTGGACCGCTCACTGATTTCAAACCTGTATGTTTTAGATATACAAATACAAAGAGAACTGATGCAGTTTTATAACTTACTTACTTTGCAGCAAAAAAAGCTACACCGGAGAAAGCCACATAATATCTGCTTTTCTTTTGGAGACGTCCTCTTTTGTGGGCTTGTTCATTTTGGCATGTTTTGTTGTGTGGATCCCACTTCTACCACACAACTTAAATGACATACATTATTTGAATTTCGTTATTTGAATTTCTCTGGGATTTACACTGATTTCACTGCTAATGTAAACCTATAAAGTCTTTGCAATATAACACACAGAGAGATCCTTTGCACTAATGCATCCTCATCCAATGCAAGCTAAGCAATTCAACATTCAGAATAAAACAAACAAAAACAAAAAAAACAAAAACAAAAAAACATGCACGCTCATATTGTCAGTTGCTCTCTGCATGCAGTGCACCAGAGGCACAAAAGTCAGGGAAGATCATGTAGAGATGAAAAGATTTTCGGCATGCACACTGTACTACATTTGCCATTCTCTTCGTAGCTTACACTGGTTAACTTTATCCTTCAATGACACGTGAAAAAAAAAAAAAAAAAAACTTTTCTAAGTAAATATTTTTTTCTCATGTTTTCATACTTTTTTATAGACTACTCTGTGAAAAAAACTGCTCAGATCTCAAACTGTGATTGCATCAGTGTCTTAGGACAACTTCCTCTGTTTCTGCTTTTTCTTTCTTTTTTTTCTTTTTTTTTTTTGAAAGTTTTGATGTAACTGAATGATAAGAAGGTATTATTTCTACATGCCAGCCATTTCTAAAGAGCTAAGACAGAATGCAAAGCAAACTAGTGAGTTGGCCTTTCTCTCTTCACCTGCTAACTCTTCTGCTGATGCTGTATAATATGATTTCAGGATCCACCGCAGCTGTTTGTAAATCTGAATGTAGCTCAATATCATCAGAGATCCTTTACTCTTTATTTAAAGGTGATGAGTGCAAGGCAAAAGCCAAATTTGCCTATTTCCTACCAACGCTCTGGAAGACAAACGACTGCTAAGTGTGTCTAGCTTCACAAAGCGGCACGTGTTTATAAGTGAGGGCGTCGGTTGTGGTTTTCTGAAGCATTTGTCAGATATTCAGAGACACGTTAAAAGCATAATCTTTTTTTTTTTTTTTACTTTCAAAGCATAGGGACAGTGTTGATAATTGAGGGTCATGCTGGTTGAAGTTAGAATATTACCGACATTAAAGTGACAGGTTTGATAGCAAAGCACCTTTTTAATGTCTGATATTTTGATATGTTTGATATGTACCTTAATGTTTTCCATTACTTACTTTGTTGATATGGACCTAATCTAATCAAACATTGTTGTTATTATTATTGGGTTTTTTTTGTTTTTTTTTAAGGTTTTTGCAATAGATCTTGGAACATATGGTAGTCCATAAGTGTCACGATTCAACAAATAAATCATTAAATCATTGTGAAAAGTGTCAATAATTTATATTGAATTTGAGACATAAATTATTTAGTTTAATATATACGACATTAAATAATTCATAGCTAGCCATGAATTGATTTTGCTTGACAACATTATCCATCAGAATAAGTGCAGGGGACCAACTTGGATTTACTCTATTGGTCTTAAGTGGACTGAATACAGGTTAAACAATCTGAAGTTGAGGTCTGTTTGATAAGCCACACTCACCACTGTATTTCAGCAAATACACAAAATACCCCTGAAAAATTTAGAAATAATTATGTATAATTTTAATTATGCAAAATCTTAGCCAAATAATTTCTTTAATCATTTGTAAATTCATATACTATGGCTTAAATTATTTATTTGTATACTATATTTATTTATTTTTTATGAATGGGTTAAGGATTAACCGTCCTGTGGTCACGGCACAGCAGTCAATAGGAGAGCAGCTGATGTCATGGTCAGACAGTTGGGAAGCGGGTGGGGGATTGTCCTGTCAAACCGTCAATTCCCGAAACTACAGACACACAAAAAAAAAAAAAAAAAAAAAAAAAAAAGAAACAACAACAACAATAAAAACTTGCAAAAGCCCAAACCGAGCACAGGGTAAAAACATTTTGGGTTCCAAAGGACCTCATCTTTTAAGACCATGGGAGGGTTAATCTAATGCCACTTGGATTAATTTAACTATGCTAAGGATAAATCCAGCTGACTAAAATTCTCACCTCAAGCAAATCAAATTAGTTCAGATTCCCCACCCATGTTGTGTTTTTTCCCCTTTAATTTATTCTTATTCCTTATGCTACTTTTAAATCTCACTTTTCCTAAAGTGATGATTTGCAACAAAGGATAGGGATATTTTTAACAATAATATCCATTTTACCAAAAAGGTTCTCTGACATATTTTACATGAACACAAAAATGACTCTACATAATATAAATGTTAAAAACAAACAAATGTAGATGACAGGGATCTGAACTTGAACTGACTGCTAAAAATGATTTATCCTTCTTAGCTGATCTAATTCTGTTTTCCCATACCAGAGCCTGAGTTTCAGTCGAACCTGTATGGTATGATTCTCATTTCTTTGATCTGACATGTATGCACTCCTGAGGCAACCGTACCACTGCCAAATTGAGTTCCAAGTATTTATTGCAGCCTGAAACGTTCTCTCCTTCCCTTCGTAAATATGTGATTTCGTGCGAGCGCTGCAGCAGGAATAAAAACATAATTCAACAACAAAAATAAAACCCAGCATGTTGTTTTTCCCCACTGTGTCACTGTTTTTTCTGTGGACAGTGCCACACTGTTGTACCATCTGTTTTTCATTAATTAAACTGTTTTTGCACAATAGATCAGTGCTTGGCTCTTCATACCTAAATTTACGGCAAATTCCCCAGGACATGTGATATTTTTGTGCTTATTTTGATGATAGAAAATACAAATAAAAAACTGTTAATGTCTGTAACTTAACTTTTCTTTTCTAAGAAAGACAGGATGAGAAAAAAATGGCTTGCTATAAAGCTGCTGCATCACATTTAGAAATAGGTCAGCTTTGCACGACAGTCTTAGGCAATCAATATTTTTTAACGACTGTTAAAGCATTTGCCCCTCTCTTGCTCTCTACTAGAAAAAGGCTACATAGGGTCACGATGATGCAAGCAAATTTACAACTTCCATGTGATTCCATGTGTTCTTAAACTTCATGGAATATATTAACTCATTGTTTCAGGGAATATGGGTATCTCTATAACACAGGCACATATAGTTGACAAGGTGTGTAAATGCATGAGGAGAAGGATTTGGTGCAGTGCAAGTCCTCTTTGTAATGGTGCAGCAGCTCCCCCTTCTCTCTCTCTCTTGTTTTGCACGCTGAGATTTATATAAAAGCCTTACGTAAGACATTCACTTCTACCGGCCCACTTCGTCAAAGCCAGGGATGCTGACAGTGAGAAGGGCTCGTGGCGGAGCATGCGTATGTGTGTCGGCTGATCTTGTCATTAATCTGCTGGATGAGAGCGTTTGCTCTCAGTGTTTGCCATCAGTGCATAAATCTGATGACAGTGTTCAAGAGAGAGATTTTAGTGCTGTGCTGACCTGCAAGGTTCGTGTTCAGATTAGTAAAGGGCAGAACAAGGTGTCGTGGTGAGATGCAAAGCAAAAGTTATGGAACTTTGCAACGATGCTTCAGGAAGTTTTGTAACTTTCATTGAACATCTCGCCCGACTAAAATTGTCGTGCCGCTCCATTAAACGTGAATATGAAAGAAATTCACGAAGTTATGTGAAAAATAGCACTGTGGCTGGATTAAAATAAGCGAGCAGTCAGCTTTCTTTAATGCTGGATGAAAGTTGACCTCCACACTTGTGTGTTGCGGTAACCTGATCAAGCTGCAGCACCAGTCAACCGAACTTGGGAGTGCCTGAAACCAAGAGATACACAAGTTACTTGAAGAGCGGCGTATTAGGTTTCAGTCTCAACTCTGTTATTGACAGAGACTGTGCCGCGTTGACGGGCACAGAACATGTGAGGAGCCTCTGTGCTCCTACACGTATTCATGTGTATAATTTAATGTTGCTCAAAGTAATTACATGGTTCATTTCTCGTACACTTTAGTATCTCGGCTAAAATTTGTATACTGTTTCAATAAATTCCGGTGCACTTGACAAAACTAATTCATTTCCATCAACCAATTCATCAGCGAAAACAGAATTTTCTACTTCTCAGAAAATTTCAATATTATGTAAGACAAATGAAAAGTATTTTTAATATAGAAATGCCAGTCAACTATCTTCTTCTTGGAAGAAAGCCATAGCTTTCATGGCCTAAGTGAAGTTTAGGCCATGCAAGTTTTTAAAAGAAACACAGTGACACCATGCTCTTTCTGCCAGGTATTTGAATGTTGCTGTGGGAAAATTTAATCCTTTCATGCATAGCGGTCACTACAATGGACAGCTTTCTAAAAGCCATTTTCTTGTGCTTCTTGTAGATTTTTATGTTATAAATGCACACAGACCACTGAAGTGGACACTAATGCATCATAAAATATACCATCAACTACTGGCCAACAGATGCAAGTGCAAGAAATTATTATTGTTAAATCCAATATGGCCGACAGACAAAAAGCATGCCAACCGACCCGGTCCCCCCTCCTACTGCAGACGACTCTTGCAGGTAAAAAATATATTGTGACTAAAGAACAATACTACTGATATATTTTTTAAATAACTGTATTTGGATAAAATTAAATTGATCACCTAGAAAAAAAATAAAAAATTAACAAATTTTTTTTCCTACTTTTTTTTTCATGCCTTAAGAAAATAAAAAAATGGGAAAAAAATCCTGACACAAAGGATCATAATTCATAAATAAAAGAGTTAAGGTTACTATGATTATTAACTGAATCTATGCATAGCAGTACTATGACTCTTGTGTGATGCATGAGCTCATGAAAAAGACTTCTGAAGGAGTTTCTCTGGCTTTAGCATATAATGAAGTCATTGGCCTTAACACTACAATGAAGTCATTGGGTTGTTTTATCTCTCGTGGCTCCTAGTGAAAGAAGACGTGTTGCTTGCTGTCTGCTATCTGTTCTGTAACCAAGTAGATTATCAAACTATGCGATCGGAATAAACCTCTCCCTATAAATCTGTAAGCTGTGTTCTGTTCGAGGCTCTTTCTCCTTCGAATAAATACAAATTAAGAATACATTCTCTCTTTGGTTCTTGAAACAGTTTTGCCTCACTCTTTGTTGAAGGAAAATTTCCACCACAGTTTGGCGTCACGAACGGGATTCGGCGAGTTGGAGAGGTCGAGGGCGACGAGAGATCGGATGCATTGGCCAACCTGAGGAGGCAGGCTCCGACTGCTGGTGAACTAAAATTAACTATCTAAGGAGTAGATAGTGGGTGTTTTTATTCTTTTTCCGCATTTAAGGGAAGAAAGTAACTATCTAAAAGGTAGATAGTGGGTGTTTTTTAATCTTTTCTCACTTTTAAGTAAAGAATGGAAGGTCGTGGTGTTTTTATTCTTTTTTCTCGCCTAAAGAAACAAAGTAACTATCCAAGGGAAGATAGTGGGTGGTTTTTAGCATTGCTACACCTTCAAGGAAAGAAAAGCCTCAAAGCTTTTCTTTAAAGAGTGAGAGACGTCTCCCTTTAAAAAAAAAAAAAAAAAAAAAAAAAGGGTTCTGGAACCTCACAGAAAAGTTCGGAGCGGGCTGATCCTGGCCCTAGCAGTTATATTTATGACCTAATGGCAAAAAAATAAAAAATAAAAATAAATAAATAAATATGTTCAAAATGATTGTTTTGCATGCTGAAAACAAAATTATGACTTTCCTTAAGGGGGAAGCTTAAGTGTAAATCAATTGAAACAGATGCAAACACAACTTGATGAAAAATGGAGAGAAACAAAAAAAAGCAGAGAAAATAAAAATTAAAGTACTAGAGGATAAAGAAAAACATGGCAAATGTATGGCTGTGTGGATGAAAGAAGTTCTTTCAGAGAGCGAAAGGCAACTTTTAGGAGTTTGGCAGGGGGAAAAGATTTGACTAGGGCAGTAGCGGGCCACACTCACAATGCGGGTGCCCTTTTCTCCCTTTAAGACAAAGGGATACTTCACCCCCTTTTTCTACTTCCCAGGTGGAGATCCAGGCTCTCCAGGCAGATCTGGATTTGGACTCCCATCCCCCGGTCTGAAGAGCCACTCCAGCAGGCCCACAAGACCCTGGAAAGACAGCACCGCCTCCTCCCCCGGAGAGAAGCAGCAAAGCTTCGTCATCAGCCCAATTCAAGACCGCCCTGCAGTCCACGTCCACTCCCAGCAGAGAGCAGAAACATGGATGCTCAACCAAAGCCCTTGTAGGCCCTGTCTCTGCCCACACCAGATCCAAAACACATGAAGGGGGTGTGGCAGCTGATGACTGGGTGCACGACAACTCCATCCACCTCTGGACACTTAAATTTGCCCTATGATGGAAGTGGCAGGCGCCGGAGCGGGAGCAATGTTAGTTCATCGCCCCTGGACTGGTGCTGACATCACATCAGCAGCCTCCTTCCTTCCTGAACCGAGGGAAGATGGTGTCAAGTTTGCCACAGAACTGAAGGCCCTGTGCAATGAAATGCGTCCCACTGGTGCTGAAATACGACGCATGGCTGCAAAAATCAAACCCAGCAATCTTGCCTGCCCCTGATGTCCGTCTCACAGCGCACTAATAACACCATCCTGCAGACAATAAAGCAACGCCCTGATGAAGCAGCTGAAGATTTCCTTCACTGCATAGAAGAAGCATTTAACAAATACTCTGGTTTGGCCCCAGCCTCCTCATCCTCTACCAAACCCTGCGGCTGGACTCTTGCCTGAGGTTGCAGCTCAAACCAAAGCTTCATATGTGGGTTCGCGGTTTGGCATGAGGCTGGCTGATCTAAAACGAAACAGTTTTGCCTCACTCTTTGTTAACGGAAAATTTCCACAACAACATCTTGCACATTTTACTCATATTCATCGGTT